TAGACGTCGTAAAGAGACAGCAGAACGGAAGACAAAGGCTCCGGAAAGTATGTTAAGATCAACGAAAAAAAGATCGCCGAATCCCGCAAAATTAGGCTATCAATTTCATACTTTGGTGTCCAAAAACTACAAAACTAATTCCTTGATTAACTCTAACTTAATATAAAAAAGACACTCCTTCTAGTTCTACCTGAGGTATTCACTAAAAGTTGAGGCAGTATATGGAAGAATATATGGATGCAATACATATATCAAACAGAAAGGCTTGATACTTTTATATCTTGTCCCTACGGGTAAGATACCGAATATATCAATATACGAGTGGCTAAAAAGAAACCGGACTGCTCGTGCTGGCCATAAAGTAGGGGGCCCGAAGACTAGCGAGACACTTGACATTAATCTTTATCATATTGTGGTGATGTGTGCCAAATGGCATCTCGATATCGCTATTATTCTTCTTTCCACAGATCTTTGTTTTATCGATGTTCGGCGGCCTTGTCACCGCCAGGCTTCTACAATGAGCTTCGAAAAAAAAGAAGGAACATGACGCTCCTTGCCAGACTCAACAGAGACGCTGAATCTGTTCAAGGCTTTAATGTTATGTTAGGTCATATGTCACATGCAAGTGTTTGAATGGGTTACGAGGTTCAGCACTGGTCGTGAGGATGTTGATGATGACCCCAAGGTCTGGAGGTCCATCAACGTTCGCGCGCATGTCGAAGTCGAGGGTGGAGACGACATTGATCGTCTTTTTCGATCATAGGGGATTCGTTCACCGCCAGTTCGTGCTGGAGGTGTACAACAGTCGACCAGCCACTTCTACAAGGAAGACCCGGGACGCCTCATTTCACGAGTCAGGCGCACCAAGTGGAATTTCTGGGAAGCCAGGATCTGGGTGCTCCATCACGACAACGCTCCCGTGCATTCTGCCATTAGCGTCAAACCGTTCTTTGCCAAAAAGCAGGTCGCGGTGCTCAAGCACCCTCTTATTTGTCAGACCTACCTCCCTGTGACTTTGGCTGTTCCTTTAAATGAAAAAGGTTGTCAAGGGAACCCATTTTGAATCGGTCGAGGACATCCAGACCAGAGTGACCAGCGTCAGCGTCATCGATAAAACAAAGAGCTGTGGAAAGGAGAATAATAGTGATATCGAGATGCCGTGTGGCACACATCACGACAATATGATAAAGATTAATGTCAAGTGTCTCGCTAGTTTTCGGGCCCCCTACTTTATGGCCAGCACGAGCAGTCCGGTTTCTTTTTAGCCACACCTCGTATGTATATCAAATAAAAAGAGCAAGCCGTTCCGCTGCAAGTCAGGATATAAAATACAGGGAATGTTGCTGAGCGTGGCGAGTATCACATTTTTCAAATTGATTAAAGGCGGTCGCATTGGAGATCGTTTTGGAGGAGGACCGCCGTATGGTAATTCGCAGCCTTTCCCAAAAGTATCGTAGTGAACCGGGCGGTCCGCCTGGTTTCATATGTACTGATACTTGCGCAAGCACCCTGATAAGGAAAGAGAACATAAATATAGGTATGTATAACTACTTGTTAAAGCTTAGAATGCCGAATAAAGTCATCTACCGAATGATGAAATGGATGAATGTATGAGATTCTTACGTCAGATAAACCGGTGTTGGTCTTAGCAATGATGACCTCACTAGAGGTCTGTGCCTTGGTCTAAACTGTATGTTTTTTTTTAATTTCTTCAGGAGTTGCCACTTGTGTCTTAGCTTAGAACTATTTTGGTGCAGTTAAAAGAAAAACAATCTAGACCTTCTAAGCCAGCATCGTTAAAAGGAGCGGCGCTTAGCCTGTTGCGTCGTTTGTTCGCGTTGAGCGGCAAATTACGGTCCAGCGGCGGGAGATTCTGAAAGGTGGACTCACAGCATGACAAAGACAGCAGTATGTACTATGTATGAACGACCCATCACTTCACCGGGCGCACTGGCTGCCACATGTGCGGTGGACGAGCTGATCCGTGACGGCAGGTCGGTCGGAGAGCATCCGCCTGTCGCCGACCCGTCTCCGATCCCGGCTCCTGCGGCGCCGCCGCTGCTGCTGTCCGGGCCTCCGCTTGAAAGTCACACGTAAAACACCGCTACTTTAATACCTAAATGTCATTAAAACTCGTTCCAGTTTCAGACATGTATTTAAGCGACCGTTGGCGTCGGCGGCGACATCTCGTTCAGCCGCCGAGCCCCCGGCCGTGGTCACACGGTTCCCGTGCAGGATCTGCACAGTGGACCCTGCGACTCGTGCGCAGAGCCTGGCCGTGGGCCCCGCGTCTCCTGAAGGGTCCGGCAGTCGGCTGGGACCGACCCAGCCCTCGGACTACCACGCCAGTCGACACTGACCTTGCCGACATTGCCTCAGCCGAGCTCCTCGCGTCCCGCCACCGCGGTGTCGCTTACAGACAATGACGCACCGCCAGGACCAGCGCCCCGCGTGGTCGCTGCTTTTTACACGGCACACGACCATTAATAGACAAGCCATTCGCACAATTGGAAAGCGTATCCACCCTTATCTTTGCAGCCTCCATCGCACGCTTCGGGGGCTTACGTATAAAATAAAATGAAAATGATAGCTAGATAAATGGAAAAGCATGCGAAAGTTTGACCAGATTTCGCCAACATTGCAATGAAGAAAAACGCAGGCCGGTGCCTACATCAGTAATTGACTGCACAAAAACAAAACCTCAAGCAGCATCACAAAGAAGACAAACAGCACATAACTTATCACTCCTTTTACATTTGTTAAATTTGCTGCATTCTGCTCGTGCAATGTTCAAACCAATTCATAAATAATGGGACTGCCTACCTACAATACCGTCGCATAGCACCGCACAAAGGTAAAATTGCAATAAATATAAATATTCATTACTCATTGCTTCAAATGTTGTAAAATCACGCTGGGTTGAGTAGACATTTTTTTGCACTTATTCTTATTTTCTTCTTTGGCACCACGACCCAGGCTACCTAAGGCTTGGACCGCCATAGCGGCCCTAGCGACCAACGACCACAGTAGCCACAGCGACTACAGCGACCACAGCAGCCATATCGGCTTTAGCGGCCATCTATGGCTACAGCGGCCACAGCGGCCACCTACGGCTACAGCGGCCACAGCGGTCGTAGCGGCTATGGCGGCCATCCACGGCCTAAGCGGTAACGGCGACTGACGGGCATATAGCGGCCACAGCAACCATATCAGTAAGGGCGGCCACAGTGGCTATAGCAGTCACAGCGGCCACAGCAGCCATATCAGCAATAGCGGCCACCTACGGCGACAGCGGCCTAGTGGCTATGGCAGTCACAGCGGCCACAGCAGCCATATCAGCAATAGCGGCCACCTACGGCGACAGCGGCCTAGTGGCTATGACAGTCACAGCGGCCACAGCAGCCATATCAGCAATAGCGGCCACCTACGGCGACAGCGGCCACAGTGGCTATGGCAGTCACAGCTCGGACACAGCAGCCATATCAGCAATAGCGGCCACCTACGGCGACAGCGGCCTAGTGGCTATGGCAGTCACAGCTCGGACACAGCAGCCATATCGGCCATAGCGGCCATAATGGCCACGGCGGCCACAGCAAGTAACAACCACAGCGGCCATAGCAGGTTAAGGCAACGGTCTTCTTGGCGACTAATAGCTACAGTGGCCATAACGGCCACAGCGACCACAGCCGCCAATGGTCACAGCGACTACAGCGACTAACAGCCACAGTGTCCATAACGGCCCCAGTGACCTCAGCGATCCTGGCGACCTGTCCAATGGGTGCCGGGTGCGGCAGTGATGACTGCCGACAGACCCGCCGTGGCGACCCAATGCGATTTGCGAAGTCGCATGATGATGTTATGTGCACATGTTAATGTGTTCATACTGCAATACTCATCATTCTTTTTATCTTACAAGTGCTGGCTTCCAGCCACAAATAAAAGTTATTTGCAGCAGATATGCCATACAAAGATAATTAGGTACATAAAACACAAAAGGGTATACCTTCTTGCCATTTCTGTGCTGAGGTTCCACAGCAATAATGACAGCAAAACATAATCTTATATGCTATCACACACACTATACAGCGTCTCAGTTTTTTTATAATGATTTGGGAAACAACTAATTGCGTTAAGCACGCGACTGCTTGTGTGCTTTACTTGTGTTTATGTTGCCTATACTTTAAAACATATGAACGTTTTGACTTAAATTCAGAATGATAATTATAAATAGCAAAGGTTCCCGTACATTTCTGTCAAGAAACGTTAATCCGTAATGAATGATGTTTCATAGGACAAAGATATTCCTTTCACATCGATTACAGGTACCTAATACATATATCATATTAAGCATGTTATGTATAATCAGTTAATTATATAATGTATGCTATATAATATAATGATGAAAATATACCGTGGACGAATACGATTAGTCACGATTTCTGGAGGGACGCAAGGTAGCAATCCCAGGTGCGACAGTTCTGATCCATGCACATCGCTTGGCACAAACAACTGAATATCAACTTACATTCAAGACGACACAATGTTTTAGGTCATTTATTTTACGTTGATCAATGATCCCATGGTTCGCGCATACGAACTGGAAGCCGATAATTTCGCCACGGGTCCCTCTCAGCACGCAAAGTTGCGCTCTTTGTGTGCTGAAATTCACCACATTAAGTCCAGAAAACACCCTGATGCGTAAATAATGTATTTATGCATCAAACGCAACACCACTCTCGCCGCGGCCAAAACATAATTTGTTAAAATATCGTGCACCACTTCCAGGACTGATAAGCACCACTGAGTGTCCAGGAGCGCGGAGCCGGCAGAGTGGCACTGGCGCGTGGGCGGCCCGGCGGCCCGGCGGTGGCGGCGGCGCGGGGCGCGGGGGTGCGGTGCCGGAGCGGCCGGCCCGGCGGCGGCCCCTCCCTCACCTGGCTGTGCTGTGTGTCGGCGGCGGCGGCGCGCAGCCGAATGGCTGGCCCCCTGACCTGGCTTACCTGATCCGTCCGACGAAACGCAGACTCCGACGGCCGGCACAAGTCGGCTGATGATGCGACGGCGGCAGCGGCGGCGGCGGCGGCGGCGGCGGCGGCGGCGGCGGCGGGGGCGGGGGCGGAGGCGGCGCACAGGCAGGGCCCGACGGGGGCGCCGTCAGCAGGGGGCTGCCAGTCCAGCGGCGGCGAGCAGGGGGCGCCGGCGTCATCGGCGGCGCCCAGCTGGTGGCGCACGCGGCGCCACCGACTGCGGCCCAGCAGCTCACTCAGCACACATTCCAGACCTGAAACACGAACAGCACCTCACTCAGCAGCTCAGCACACTTTTCAGACTTGAAACACGGCCCAGCAGCTCACTCAGCACACATTTCAGACCTGAAACAAATCCAGCAGCCGACTCAGAATACATTTCATACAGCTGAGACAGGACGGCAGCTCACTCAAAACACATTCCAGACCTGAAACACGCAGATAAATTCACAAGGCACATATTCAAAAACCTGCGCATTTCCGTCAGTTCTATTTTGACGAGCCGCAGTGAGGACCTTACGCAACGGCGTCTGGGCTGGGAGTTGGTATGCAAAATGTAGGGGCTTGACAGAAGGCAAATATTGCTCTTTTACCCATCGTCTCTGCACATTTTACAGAACATTTCTTTTAAACTTCAAAGGCAGCACTCAGACACTATCAAACCTTTGTCTTACAGTCGCCTTGCACTCAAATATCCGCGGCCCAAGTGGAAAATGTGAAGTGTTTGCGGAATGCCGGCTCGATCCCGTTCTGCGCGCTCTCCGAGCTTATCCCGCCTGAGAGCGACTCCGGCCCGCGAGCTCAGAGTGCAGCCGCCGCTGGCAACCAACTTATTTGATGTAAGGCAGCCGCTGATTGACTTCATTCACCAAGAAAATGAGGGTGCCGGATTTCTGACTAATTTACCCAGTTGACACTGAAGATGCCAATCGAAAATGAGAAATTTGGGAGGTGTAGTGTTTGTGTCGGCGAATCCGACGGCAACAGTCCACAGTCACTACCTCGCTAGAGCAATGGGGAAATTCGAGTTTCCACTGGTTTAGAGCTGTAATAGCGAGACCCGTACGGCGCACACGGATCAGCGCGAGCTACATATACGACGAAAAGTGACGGGAATGGATTCAAACCTCCTGAACGAAAATCAATATTACATGCATTACACATTTGCAGTCGTTGGTTAGTCTAAAGCATACTTCGCCATTCACATCTTTTTTATTTCAGCATTATTAGTCTGTATCAGAACTCAAAAACTCGATCAGCTGCAGCATAGAAATTACAAGGGAAAACGCAGCGAAGTGACCACCAAGAAGCGCACCGGCGCCCAATTCGGAGCCAGTGCGGGAGCTAGGACGTCAGGAATGATCTAAATATGTAGCTGCAAGAGCATGCCCCGGGAGTCGAACCGCACACCGGCGCGTCGGGCCGCCCACACGCTGAGTCACTCCCGACAGCTCTGAGACCACCAGAGGAACAGCGGCGGCCGATCACCACCACCACTTGACAGCCGGTCGGTCCACAAAACGGCGAGGTTGGGGAGACATGCCGACGAGATGAGACTGCAGCGACACGTCACAAGTGCCCTGCGGCCCACACGTCAAGTTGGCAGTTGTGGTGACAAAAGCCGCTTTGTCGGCCACCGTTGCTACTTTCAGTCGTCACATCTGTCCGGTCATGAGAGAAGCTCTCGTGTCCCCTCTTCCCGCCACTCAGTAGTTGTTTTGTTGGTTTTTGGCGTTAATGTCGACGATTTTCCGCCTTGCCGAGACATCGGCGGGAGCGAAAGGAGGCCGGTTACAGCTTCCAGGAGCCACGAGCGTCATTTGTGTCGTTTTTTCAGCTCAATTGTGCAATCCCCTGTACAGTTACAGGGAAGCGCACGGTATAACTTTCGTCAGACCTATTTGCAGGACGGTTCTGAGAAAAGCCGACAGGTATGGTAAACAATTACCGCACATGTATGAGTTATGACACGTATCGCTGCTATTGGGCTACTGCGACGGGGACGCTGCAATGAAAAACGATGATCCCTAGCGCACAATGAGCAAATGTTACCGTTGAACGGAGTGCATAGTGAGTACATCAATATATCGGATACTCTAATCTATAAACAACGAAAGTAATTCAGAGAACGATGTGAGGTAGATATGGGGCACGCAAAGCAAACGACTGCTTGTAAAATACAGATTAACAAAAGCGCTTACAAATCGCGATAATGCTGTCACGCGGATAGATAGCGGTACTGAGAATGAAACTATCGGTGTATTTAAAGGGACCCTCCCTGTAGTATCCACCGCCGTCTCCGGGTTCCGATGTATTCTCACAAACTCGCGGTGCAAAACACTAAGGCACTGTCGTGCTGTGCGGCCGGGCGGAGCCTCTCGACTGCTCTGACTGGAGCCGAGCAGGGTGCGGCCGCCTCACACTCGTATTACCGGGGGCCCGATGCCGAGCCTCGGACACCCGATGCACTAGGTACTCGATACACTACACATTCCCCCCTCTCGCAAAAAAAGGAACAGCATCACTGCGACACGTAGTAGTCCGGTCGTCTACAGACACGGTCGCTTCGCCTGGGACGCTGCACGCTCACATCGGCGGCGTCCGGCGACGGCTCGCAAGCTGTCTCGGTCGACGGGCGAGAAGCAGCGGCGAGCGAGGTCAGCGGGCCAGCGGCGTCGGCCTCCGAAGTCGTGGCGGTCGACGTGGTCTCGCCGGGCCCGGCGGGGGGAGATGCGGAGGGAGACGCCGGCGCGTATGGGAGACGGGCCAGATGGGCGGCGTTCCAGGTCCGGCCGTCAGCCAGACGGTACGTTGCGGGACCGACGCGCCCAGTGACTCGCACCGGAGACGTGAACCGACAGGACGTCTTCGAACGGTGTCCCTGCCGTCTCACGCAGACGTAGTCGCCCTCAGTGATGCGCGGCGTCGTCACGCCACGGCGGCGGTCGTAGGACCTCTTGTTGGACTGCTGTCGGCGTCGAACTCGAGACGCCACACTGTCGGCTCCTGGTGTTGACGGCTGAATGACAGGCAGGTTCAGCCTCATCTGTCGTCCATGCAGGAGCTCTGACGGTGACTTCCCAGTTGTCGTGTGTGGGGTGGCTCGATACACCGCCAGGCTCTTGCGTACCTCGTCAATGAACGCTGCTGGTGGACAGTCTGTGATCCACGACTTGAACGTTTTGTTGAAGCGCTCTACGGCGGAGTTGCCTCTAGGCCAGTAGACGGACGATTTGGTGTGCTTCACCCCTCGGGCGGCCAGGTACGCAGTGAACTCCCTGCTCGTGAACTGGGGCCCATTGTCCGTCACGATCTCGTCGGGATAGCCCTCTTTGGCCCACACAGTTGACAAGAACTTGATGACGTCTTCAGTCTCAGTCGATGACGTCAGGCAGACTTCCGCCCATTTGCTTCTGTAGTCAATCAGAGTGATGGCGTAACGGGCAGTCGCTGGTGCTCCGTTGATTGGACCAACGATATCCATTCCCAGTTTCGACCAGGCGCGGTCCGGCAGGTCGACTGGCTGCATGGGCGCAGGGCGTGCGCGCTGGGAGAGGACTGCGTCGCTGTGCTGGCAGCGCTCGCAACTTCGGCACAGCTCCTCCACCTCACGGTTGATGCCGGGCCACCACGCCAGATTCCGCAGCGCCTGTTTCATGCGGACGATTCCGTCGTGCGCGCTGTGCGCCAGCTCCAGGTATCTGCGGCGGAGCTGAACGGGCACAACAACTTGTTGGGCTCCTCTCAGGATGACGTCGTCGTTGCGCACCCACAACTCGTGTCTCATCTTGAAGTACGGCTGGACTTCACCCGGGCAGGCCTTGGCGCTGCTCGGCCAGCCGCGCTTGATCTGATGACGCAGCTGCTGCAGCTCAGGATCAGCAGCTGACGCGGTGCGGACGTCTTGCTCGGTCAGCACGCTCTCTTCATCTGTCAGAAGAGCGATCACCTCTTCTTCAGCGGAGCTGTCTTCATGCAGGTCCGCTTCTTCGGGGTGGCCTTGGACCATTGTCAGTGAGCATATCTCGCCAGGGTCGGGCTGAGACGGTGGCGGTTCCGGGACTTCTGCGCTCCCAGTGACCGCCAGCTGATCGATTGCCCCACTCGCGGGGTGCAGGTTTACGTCCAACTGCTTCAGCAGGTCCAGTCCCATGACGGCTTCTTCACCGTCGGAATCTATGATGAAGAACTCTGTGTTGGCTCGCCGTCCACGGTAGGTCACCAGCGCTGGCAGCGTGCCAAGCACTTGAAGCTGGTGTCGACCAAAACCGAACAGACGAGCAGACGTTCTATTGAGACGACTGCCTTTGAAGAGACGTCTGGCGATGCCGAGTCCTAAAGCGGACACCGTGGCACCCGTGTCAACCTGCAGATTCACGGCCTGCGTGATACCTGGTACCTCCATCTGTACTTCGCACATCATCTTATCGGTATTTGGTACGGCGCAGCAGAGAACAGTCAGCTCGTGACACCTTCTGTCGTCGTTCCGTTCACCAGACCAGCAGACCACGGCAAAGTGACCCGTCCGCCCACACTGCCTGCACGTGGCCCCGGTAGCGGGACACCGACCGCGCTCATTGTGCTGGCGCCGACCGCAGCTGGGGCACGTGTCCGGTTGCAGCTGGGCAGGTCCGGGGCGACGGTCGGCTTGCAACTGGGCAGGGGCGGGGCGGCGGTCGTCTTGCCGCCGGGCGGGTCGCCAGGGCCGGCGCCCGCGGCGCTGACGAGCGTCAGATATCTGATGCAGTGACTGCGCTCCGTCGGCGGCGGGCCGCGCCGGCCCGGCCATGGCGGTCGCCTCGCGTCGGGATCGCTCGAATGCCTCGGCGATCTCCAGAACGCGGTCCAAGGTCAGGCCCTTATCCTGCAGAAAACGCTCGCGGAGAATCGGATGCACTGTTGCTTCCACGACTTGGTCACGTATCATGGCGTCTGTCATTTGTCCAAACGAGCAGTTTACTGCCAGGCGGCGCAGCGCCGCCACGTAGTCGGCCGTCGGCTCGTGCGACTCTTGCCGTCGCTGCCGGAAGAAGAACCGCTCCGCGATCACGTTGACCTGAGGTTCATAAAACTCGGCGAGCTGCCGCTCAGCCGCATGGAACTCGTCTTCGTCTTCTCTCCTCGGCTGGACCGGTAGGGTACGGTACACCCGTTGCGCCTCGGCGCCGACACAGTGCAGAAGGAGAGCCGTCTTCCTCTCCGTGCTGTAGGCCTCACCTCCCAGGGCAGTCAGGTAGTTGTGGAAACTGAAAAT